CGCACCATCGCGGCATTACTGGCTTTTGTGGCCAACGTTTCCCTTCTCGTAAGAAGGTTCGCCATTCTGAGCTAGCTGAATATCTTGTTAACGCTTTTAATGATTTTTCTAATCTCGCTGACAGTCGAGGACTCATAAGCTAGCTTGCCCATCGTGATGCAGCCGTGTTTTGTGCGATACTCAGTCTTATAAATGGCGACGGTCGAGCGCCCCTTTTCGGCGGGCAGAGTGACGATATCCTACATTTTTGGTATCTCCAGATGGTCTCGATCTTCCGCCTTAGAAATCCTCATCTGGCGTTTGTGTTGGAGGAGTAAGGTCGACACTTGTTGTCGCATGGCATTTTTGCACTCCTCGTCTGCCTCAGATTTCTGGAGCGCCGATTCATAGGATGCAATAAAGTCTTCTGGTTGAGCCTCTCTTGCGCTGACCTTCGCGTCATAGGATAGAACCGCTAGTTGTTGCTGAGCGAAACAATGAGAGGACAAGTTGTAAACCAATGCAACGTCAGCAGAGGGCTGCTTTGGCGGACTTATTTCCTCAGATTTTCCAGTAAGCTGGTCACCACGCAACTTGCGGCGACGCCGAGCGCTGTCGAGAATTGCCGCTTTGAGGATCCCCAGCTCGTGTGCTGTAAAGATCGAATGGCAGGTTGAGGACTGCTGTTAAATTATCTGGCTGTACTTGTGGATGCGAGCGTGGCAGTCTCGTATCAGTACCCTGATCATTTTCTTCTTGAAGTTAGCCATCGGCCGTCGGCAAAGGTCACTGTTCACAGGTGGTCTATATGTGAGGAATTTCGGTAGGACGTCCTCATCAAGGCAAGTGTGTAGGAATTTCAGCTGATCCTAGGTGGAGTACTCGCGCTTCGCAAATATCTCACATTTGCGTTCTGAGCGGAGGGCTATGCGCCCATAGTGCACATCAAAATGCGTAAAGATTCGAGGTCCGCATGTTATATCGCATCCATCATCCCCCAAAGAAGACGAGGAGCTAGGTGACGGCTTTCAAGCCATTAATGACCTCAAACGTTCCCGACATTCAGTTTAATCTCGAAGTGGAAGTCAACAATCAGTTGCCCTTCCTGGACGTACAAGTTACGAAATTGACAGACAGGAATACAAGGGCAATGGTTTTCCGTAAGGCAACAAATATTAGGCGCATCCTCTACTTCCGAAGCAACCACCCTGTTGGTCATGCACGCAGTTAGGTCAAAACTCTCCACCGACATGTTCAAAACACTTTAGCGACGACAGTGGGAGGAAGGAGGAAGTGAATTACTTACAGGCCCTTCTTAAAAGCTAACGGCCACCCGAAGTCCTTCATATGCTGTTGCCTCAAAAAGCCTTAATTTGAACGGTCGAGCGGAGAAAAGCCCAAGTGCTGGCACTCAATGCTCTATGTGAAGGACGTATCAGAGTGTACTGCGAGAATCGTGAAGCCTTTTGTATCAGCGTGGCTCATAAACCAGAATTCCCAATCAGACAGTAGATTCTGAAGCCCAAAGTGCCGCTACCATTAACGGAACAGTCGTTGGTGTTCTACAGCATACCATGCCTAAATTGCAATGCGAGCTATATGGGTGAAACAAGAAAACGCCACGGTAAACGATTGTACTAACCCAGATGCCATCACCGTCGTTGACATCAAACAACATCCTACCTCTATGCGCTACTATGGTTGCCTCAATCCAGCCTGGGAAGCCCGCTCAATAATCACGAACGAAGACAGGTGTTCTGACGGAAAGCTTGCTGCGAGATTCTGGAGGAGTCTGCGCGGGCTGCACACCGGTAGGAACGAGTGCATAAAACGTACGCAGGATTCGGCCGATCAAAGCTTCGGCAGGAGAAAAGCCACCAGGGGACGCCGGGTTCGGTGTTGTCTTGTAGGAAAACAGGAACACCTGGACCATCTTGTCCGTGGTCCCCTCCCCACGAGCTCTCAAGTGGGCCCTCTCAAACGTGTCAACAGATTAGATTAGATGTCAGTAATAAGCATCCTCATTGTGGACACAAAATATCGGGCTAAATACAAGTCAGCATAGTCTGTACAGAGGCAAGCCTTTATTTAGCGGTTCCCTTGTGGGTTTGTTTCAACAACAACATTAGTGGCCGTTATAGGTACGAATTGTATGTGCCCATGCCAACACCTTTGGGCACTTCCGTTTCCTCCATTGTCAGTTGCACTTGCCCGTCGTCAGAAATTCCTAAAGCAACCGCCGACCTTTCTGAACACGGTGCTGCAGACGTGTGTCGATATTCCGGAGGACGCAAACCTCGAATTGGTTGCTGGCACGTAGGACACATCTTAAACCGGCGAACGTAAGCAGGTGAGGATGTTCGCCTAGTTCGTGTTTGCGCCTTCACATGCGTTGTCGTTGTTGTCGTTTTCTCTGAATTAGTCACCCCACTCATCCGCCTCTTCAATCATAAGAGTTCTTGCGGAGAGTGCGACGTGCACATCTGTAGGGGAACCACGCGAACTTAAGGCGTCATCTAGCTAAGCGAAATTCGTGAATAATGTAGTACTGTTCGATGTTTGTCTGAGATCAATGTGCACAACTATGTATTGGCAACATGTTTCGCTCATTGGTGGGATAGGTGGTCGAAGAGGTGCACTGAAAATTCCGCCAAAGCACCGTGTCGGCAGCCTGTCTATGGCGCCTCGACCTAAATACTGGTCAACATAACACGCATGACGACCACCACCGTCCATTTGCCCTACTTTCCCACAGTTGGAAGTGGGACACTACTCAATCTGACAGTCAAGAATGTCCCTCTAGAAGATGGATCTTTTTGCTTCCATTGATGCCCCCCTCTCCAAATCTGACAGCTGAAGTAGCTGGAACAGACTTGCTAGAACGCCAGAGTATCTAATACAGTTCCGGCACTATGATTTTTTCGCAACATAATGTCATCTGCAACACAGTCAGTTTAGACAGCTTCGTAAATTGGAATCCTTTCTCAACTCTCATTGCAGTGATTTGAATGATAATTTCTACTGTGCGAGCTAAGTGTCATTCTCCACACGGAAGGCAGCAACTTCTGAATAATTGTCTTGTCTCCACAATTGCCCCTAGCATCATCCTCATAACCTTGCACGTGTGACTTATAAGCGGTATCGTTTGCCGACACCGAGACTCCCTTACTCAGGAAACGTACTCGCCAAATCAGCCAGACTATCACCATCGTCCATATGCTCTGCTGTCCCTCCGTATAGTAAAGTGACACTGCTCAATCTGACAGTTAGAAATGTCACTCTTAGTCGGATTATGCTGCTCCAATTGGTGCCGACCTCTCCCAACTCTGAAAATTGGAGCAGATGCGTCAGGTTTACATTGCTGTCTGAAAGGTACTTCATGGTCCTAACTGACTGTCATCACAGTCGAATTTGTCATTAGAAATAACGCCGTGGAACGGTTGTTCCACCTGCCAGCGTCAAACATTGTCTCATGACCATGCGAATTCTCCTTCGGATTATGGGAACGCATGACGGAAATTACTCCGAAATTAACCTTCCACCATATATACATGAGGCTGAATGCCTGATCGGCAATAAAGTTCCACGATCACAAAATGGCTCGCCAGTCAGTGATATCCTGGAATAAAACAAACGGTGTCAAATCTACCACAGTCATTCAGAACGTGAATGTTGGTGTCGAAGTAAACATTCGGTTTGCCATATGTCCGCGGCAGTTTATAACTGCACGTGGTCAAACTCAGAAATCTTAGTTTTACGACGGACAAGAGTAGGAAGAATTTAATTTTTCAGATAAACCAAATGAACGGAAAATGCTTTTTGTTGAAAATTTTATCGTTTTTCTAGAAATCCGTCACGGGGTTTACAGGCGATTCCCACAGAAATAACCATATTCGCCTATGTTTGGAAATAGCTGAACGATGAAATTAGGCGATCTGATGCCACCATAGTTGTAGACTTGCGATGTTACCGTTTACGAATAAAGGTATCAAAGTGGGCACAGGACGATGATTTAAGGCAGCCGTATACGCGCACCACACGGCACGGTTAACACTTTACATGTTAAGTGGTTTGAATGTCGACTAGAATCGGAAGTAGACGAGAATGTCAAAGAGGAGCGAGGCTGCGATCGCTGTCGGTTTTGGTATAAAACGATGTCAAATGGCGAATAATTTTGTGTGGTCGCACCTAAAATACGAAATAAGAGTATCGCTTGAAGTGCAAGCGTTATCTTGAAATAGAAAATACGTGAAAATCTGAGGAAAACCTGGATTGCCCAGATTTGATCAAGGCATTTGAGGACCGAAGAGCTGGCGAACGGCACTCGAAACTAAAAGCCTCACTTCCATCAAGTAGTAAAAGGTCAGACATAACGCCAAAAACGAACTCTTCCGGTGATTCTCCAAAAGTGACTGACACTCGGAGGAGCCGCTCACGTGCCTCTTCGTATAGGACATCGACATCTAAAGATTCGGGCTCTAGGACACAAAAGACACCAGCCAACGACGCAGCGAAGTCAGCAGAGAAGAGGCGAACGATTTTAAGTAATTTAAAAGGCAAGGGGTACAGTCAACTCAGCACTCATGCCTCACCTGAGAAAAAGATAGAAAATGCAGCTACTCCTGAAAAGCCCAAAGAGAGGACTACAGAAACGCCAACGGCAGCATCTAATGTAAGGGGTTTTGGTCGAAGGCTCGAAGCTGAACGCATAATCGGGACCATCGAATCAGCTCAAGATATATGCAAAAGAGAAATAACTAAGCACGCCAGACAGAAAAAAAGCGCACAGTGTAGACAACGAGTAAAAATTTAACACATGCTTAATAAGGGCAGATGAGACAGATCTAATCGCGTTCATAATATTTCGCTAAAGAGTAAGTGGAAGTGAAGAAAGTGAATTAATTAACGGCGTTATATTTAATTCTAAAACTTCTCTATTACCTGTTAACTGTTTGCAGATTTTTTTCATAAAGCACACATACACTCGTCACTAAATGCTTTTATTTACGTTCGCGATAAAACAAATCTTTAGTTTTTCAAAATTCCCATGACAGTGCATTGGATGTGCTAACTCATGAAATGCCAACCAACATTTCGAAATGCGTTATCGTTCCGAAAAGATAAATTAAGTAGTGTTGTAAAACTAATCCTGATGCAGCATAATTCTATAATGATCCGGTTACCTCAGGGTGCCAGCCTTCGGAACAACTTATTTTCGGCTGCATGCAGGTTCTACACTCTGCAAAACATGACTTCTTATGTAGCTTGCAATTTTCTCATCGATTTTCGATGCCCTGGAAAATTCAGTTATATTTCATGGAAGACGTGCATAAAAATATACATTCTTTTACTTATTCAGTAGAAAATCACGTCTTCTTCCAATTTCATACTCAAAAGAAAAGTAAAATTCGGTTATTAAAAAGTTTATAGTGGTGAGATTTTTTAATACCGTTACATGGCCGTTCATAAAACGTCATGTATCTGCATTTACGAATGTGGCTTTTAAAGATAACAATATTGCTCAAATCCACTGCTTAATTTAATGAACCTCATATGGTCTCCTCTTAACACCGTAGAGAAATGCATGGTTTTCCTTACACAGAGAATATACAGCTTGTAGTTTTGAAACCCTGAATGCAAGTGTAACAGCAGGTCGGGTTGAAAATTATTCGGGAATTCGAAAAGTTTTTTTAAAAACCGAATTGTACTTTTCTTTTGAATATTAAATTGGAAAAAGACGTGATTTTCTACCAAATGAGCAGGTTAGAATAGCTCAGTTGGACCTTATTAATCGTATGAAAAACATGTAGGAGGTCCGCACGATGCCTAGCGCGAGAAAAACGCCATTTATTCTCCTAGTTTGCCTTCCTATTCGAACTCTATCTGTTGGGAAGGTATGTTAGGCAACCTCTCCAAGGTGACTTCTTGGGAATTCACTCGCAGATTTCCTCTTAAAATGAACTTTGAGAAACAGCCTTTTCATTCTGCAATGAGTTTATCCGACTGCTAAGCAAAATGCTTTGCATAAAACCTATGAAACTAACCTTTTTCGCGAAGCCATCCCTAGACCATGATTAGCACCTTCTTGATGCTATCTGCATAGTCAATTTCGGAAGGGGCTACTTACTCCGGGGGCGATTGTGCTAAAACTAAGTATTTGGGCACACTTTAAGGCGAGTCATTGAATACCCAAACTCCCGCCACCTAACCTTACCACTGACGGTAAACCTTACCACAGCCCGTTTGCAATTTGGCTCTAGGCCACCTGTACTACGCGATGTCCATATTCCTGTACCAAACCTCGACTGTCTATGAAATCCTGGTTAGACAGTCAACTTAGTGTGCCAGAATTTGTGGATCGCATAAGTTGCGGTGAGTTATTTGATAAGCTGGCTCTCGATTAGGACCTCGTAGCTTGGATAGTTGGGGAGTTGTCTCTTCTAAAGAAGTGTCCTTACCCTTCAAGTCCCATCACTGCGGCCGACATTTAACAACTGACTCTCACAAATCAATTAACCGCGCCAATGTACACTTGTTAATTTTTGCTGTATTTAGACAGCTGTACTTCCTCTCCCAAAACGTAGTGTCACGGTGGAAACGATATTTTGATGAAATTTTAACGCTCGCATTTAAGTTCTTTTCTTCTCCGACCGAAAAAGTATTATCCCTTTCTGCATCTCTTTTGACCCATAATAGCTGGAGTTCACCAGTGAATTCATTCTATTATGGACGTCAGATTATTACCGTCTGATGTCCAAAATGGCATACAGTTAATGTGTTAATTCAGGAAGGTAGTCATAATTCTGGAATGCGTTTTCGACTTAAAAATATTACCTAAGTAGGGTTTTAATATTAATCATCTTGCACACCATTAAAATAATTCGGTTAATTCTAGATTCAAGCTTACGAATGAATCTTTTTTTCGGCTGCCTGGAAAATGTACACTCTAAGCAAAATGACTATATATTAAGCATGGATTTTTGTCGTTGATTTTTGATGTCCTTGTAAATTCTAGTAAATTTTATAGAAAACGTGCATATTTCAGTTAATACGTTATTTTGCTCATGTGAAGAGAAATCACATCTTCAAATCATATGTTTAAAAATGAAGATGATTCGCCTTTGAATAAATTTTTCAGTTCCCGAATGATTTATTTATTTCATTATAGGCATGTATAAATAAATTTATTTTTCACTAATGCAGAAGAAAATCACGCCTCCTTTAAATTCTAAGCTTTAAATAATTGTCTACATCTCTTGTATAAACGTTTCATATTCTGAGACTAAGCACATGATATGTCCACTCATAAAACATCGTGCATCTGCATCTGCTAATGTTGCTTATAAATTTTGCGAAATGGCTCACATCTATTGTTAAATTTAATGAACAGCTTATGGTGTTTTCTTAACGACTTGTAGAAATATGATTCAACGTACATGAAAACCTGAATGCAAGTTTAGCGGCACGTCGGGCTCAAAATTATTCGGGAATCGGAAAATTTATTCAGAACCGAGTTATCTTCTTTTTCAGGAATAAAATTTGAAGAAGATCGGATTTCTCTTCAAAATATCAAAATAATATTTTTACGTAAATATGCACTTTTTTATAAAATTTATAATAGTTTATAGTGGCATCAAAAATCAACGACAAAAATCCATGCAAAATTTATAGTCATTTTGCCCACAGCGTACAATATGGAGGCGGCCGGAAAGAGATTCATTCGCAAGCTGGAATCCGGAAGTAATCGAATTATTTTAATGGTATGCAAGATGATTAATATTACAACCCTACTTAGGTAATCTTTTCAAGTCGACAAAGTATTTCAGCATTTTGACTAACATTGCATTAATTAGCATATATACTGGAAGATAAGTATTTTAGCGGTTCTTCACGCGCGTTGTATATGTGGTAATATGAAATATGAAGACGAGGGAATGGGTCAACTGCAGCGCAATCTTCAGCGACTCATTGAATGAACGAATGTCATATGATGCACTTACTTGCCGGTAATGGACTCTACGTCGTCGTCGATTTTTTTGTGACATGAAGTTTACATATTCGTTTAAACAAAATTGTTACTGTTCAGGCTCGATCATAGCAACGAGCGGTCGTGCACAGAACGTAATTCAGGCAACCCAAAGGAGAAGCAACTGACCCCTCCGTTAGTTCATAATTCCGTAAAGTTTGACAAAATTCTCACGCCAAGAGTCGCTTGT